TTTTTCAACTTAACTTTTGAAAGTGTTCCGGAAGGTCTGACACTTATGTATATATCTTAAATTAAAGCTATTTTTGTGTGAAAATTCTCGATTTCATTTTTTACATTTTTAATTTTATAATGCTATAACATATTGAAAAGTGTATGGATCAATATAATTTTTTTATGGGAAATACTATTTTTTAATAATTCCATTTTTCATTCGACATACTTTATCTTAATCAGGATATTAATAAGGAACTAACAGATCATGTAGCTATTGGAATAATCCACCAATTTTTTAAAATTAAACACTATCTAAAGATTTGCATCGAAGCGTTTTTTTTTGATAGTGATTTTAATCACTGTCAGATATTATTATACTTGATCCAACTATGCCATGTCACCACTGTGCCGCGACCCCCCTGTGCTGAGTTTTTTAATATTATTTTTCATAAAAAAATTGTGTTAATCCATACACTTTTCAAANTCATTTGCATTATGATTATTTGAAGTTTTGTCAAATATACGTATAGAGTTAAATATTTTAATTTATAATCATGATTGATAATCAAACAATTATTCATTTTTTCTCATTAAATGAAAATCAAATATAATAATGTAATATTGAAACTGTACAACTTTTTTTATAGGACATATATATATAATTACATTTTTACAAAACATAATACATTACATTACGTGATTTTATTTTGAAAATTAATTTTTATTTTTTTTGGAATATGCTTTCATATTCTAAAAAAACCCAGAACAGTGGAGTCGCGGCATAGTGAGGACGTTGCATAGTTGGGTCCAGTATAGATTTAATCTGACAGTGATTAAAATCACTATCATAAGAAACGCTTCGATGCAAATCAGTAGATAGTGTTTAATTCTAAGAAATTGGTGGATAATTACAAAAGCTACATTATCTGCTAGTTTCTTATTAATACCCTGATTAAGATAAAGTATGTCGAATGAAAAAGGGATTATTAAAAAATATTATTTCTCATAAAAAAATTGTGTTGATTCATACATTTTTCAATGAGTTGTAGCATTATAAAGTTAAAAAAAAACCCAGCACAGGGTGGTCGCGGCACAGTGATGACGTGGTATAGATGGATCAAGTATAATGATATCTGACAGTGATTAAAATCACTATAAAAAAAAAACGCTTCGATGCAAATTTTTAGATACTGTTTTATTTTAAAAAATTGGTGGACTATTTCAAANACTGTTTTATTTAAAAAATTGGTGGACTATTTCAAAAGCTACATGATCTGCTAGTTCATTATTAATATCCTAATTAAGATAAAGTATGTAGAATGAAAAAGGGATTATTAAAAAATATTATTTCTTATAAAAAAATAATGTTGATCCATACACTTTTCAATATGTCATAGCATTATAAAGTTAAAAATGTAAAAAATAAAATCGAGAATTTTCACACAATAATAGCATTCGGTAGCCATTTTCAACCTGAAGATAAAACAAAGTGCAAAAATTTTTTTTTTTCATAATAAAGTATATTACATTAGCTTTAATTTAAGATATATATAAAAGTGCCAGACCTTCCGGAACACTTTTAAAATTTAAGTTGAAAAAGTCAATTTTTTGTGAAAATTTTGTCATTTTGAATCCCCCCCTGTAGGCAGGTAAAAAGTCAGATTTATAAAAAAAATATACCAAACGAAAGGTAATGATATTACACATCTATATAAAAAAGAATTATATTGATATGTTCATTTTTGAAAAAGTTATGGCACTTTTAAGTAAAAAAAATTGAAAAAATTTCGAAAATTAGCGATTTTTAAATTTGTAATTTTTTTGGA